GAAGTGGACAGTAATCAAAATGCTAGTTGATTAATCTTATGCGTCTTGTGATGATTCGAACACGTACATGACGTGTTATTCTCGGTCATGTTCAATTTGACATGCAGTCTTCTGTGTGAACATAAGCTCATTTAACACAATGCCACCTTGAGTTGATTCCACGAATGATGGCGACCTCCGATTTCAGAGAATAACGAGCATTGTTAGTGAAATGAGGCAGTGATATTGAAATGGATAGAGAATAACATGGCGAGGATATTGAAAGGAGCGTGGGGATTTCGAATCACCACGAAAGTAACAGAGAAGTATTCGAATTCTGGTGGTCAGATGAGTCGGAGTATAACAGATGCATTCATCAGCTTCTTAATCAAATTTAATAAGTGTGAATGAACAAGCTAACTTTGTTGTAGGCTATGAAGTCGAAATTTGAGTCCACAACTGTCAAAGACAATAAATAAATGAAAAACGTTTTATAGCACCGCTTGTGAAGAGATACAATTACATCCTAATTCTTCGAGGATTTCTATACGTTCACATTTTATATACAAACCTGTAGTGAAGATGTCGGGAAATAGATTATGAAAGACGTTTTCAGGGAAAAACCCATTTAACGTAGTGCTATCACGTCCACGTCAATTAGAAATCTTCTACATTACAGTGGCACAGTTAGTATACAAGACAGACAATGCATACTGAAGTCCCGTTATGAACCTGATAACTTCAAAACACCGTTTAGTAGTGCATATAAAAGGTTTATCGATAGGTCTATCATATTTCAGGTGTATCTTTGAAAACTCCTCCACGTGTTAATTATTTATGCGCTGGTATGTTAATCATATTATGACACACTTTCCATGTATAGTCTGAATTGTCCAAGTTGGAATGTAATAAACTCACAACTTTGACTTTGGTCGCTTCATTTAAATCACATTGAAGACTGGCTAGCACATCAAGGAAAGCATTTCCATCACACCTCTATCAAAAGCTGTCCCCGGTATCTTCATATTAGATACCCAGTTCCCGTTACCACTTAGTTGAAAATGAGAGATACTCAGAACGTACAAATCAAGAAGCTATTCCTCCACAAATAAAGTGGAGGCAATTAAAATGAAAAACAAACAAAAGCTGAAAAGATCGATGTGTTACATCGTGACTGTCCAATGATAACATGCAGGAGATCGTGAGAGAGAGAGATGAGAGACTATGGGCAATCCTGGTGCCTGCAAATGAGTAAATGAAAAATCTCCATATTGAAATGCAAAGAAGATTTTGAGCGACCAATTGTTTTCGACAACTTCTTCTTCAGGCTCTACAGTTATAAATCCATGAATAATAGAGTACACATATAGCCAATAAAGGCAAATGAATATATTATGAGAAACTGTATTGGGGTGCATGTGTAAGTTGAAATGATAGTCCAATAGTTAACATAGTCAACCAAATGCGTATCAGGTGTATACTCAGAAAACATGTGATGAAGTGTGAATAAACACTTGGGTAGCATAGTGTTGTTTTAGAGCCAACATAATACAAGTTTCATTGGGGTGAGAGAAATGCGATGACCACAAAATACATACAAACACACATTTACAAAGGGGACACTGAATGTGAGGGCTGACCGATAATGTCTCATGATAAATTAAAGGGGCTACATCGGAAATTGTATTAAGATTTAATAGTGTGAAATATTCCATTATTATGAATTAAAAATCAACATGAACACAGAATTTTCTTTTCCAATCGTCCGCCACATAAATGGCCTTTAATGTAACGACTACGAATATTGTATTTTATAAATGTTTGAACCTGAGAAGAAATTAGTGAAAAGAATATTCTTCGTTCAGATTGGCTTTTAAATTGTAATAGGATGTTACAGAATTTGTTGGCTTACTATAAAATCATAAAAGTTGACAGACATTATTGGTGACAATGAGGTGAAATAAAGTGGGTGGGGAAATGAATAATAAAGACATGATATCACAAAATGATAACAGTGGTAATAAGAGTTTGATCCTGATGACCTATTAATCCATTATTCTCTTAAGCCTCAACTATGACTTGGAGGCGTAATTGTGCGCCTTTGGAGAGGTTGTTCAATACTTGATGCACAAATGTAAATGGCTCACCTACTTTGATGCTGTGTTCACTATCCACTAGATTAGACAGAATTGCAATATTTATTGATTTGGTTGCTCTATTCTCAAGTCAAACAGGAATATGTTCACGAGTAGTGCGTAAAGATAAATTCCTCTGAGTACGACATATATAACTAGCTCAACAGGAGCAGTTGAATTTTCTACACACATTGATTTCGCCATTTCGGGTAATCTATATTTAATGCACAGTGTCAATATCGTTTTAGTTGAGAAAGTGACCTGCAGTTTTCTGTCAATCAAAGTTCTCTCAATCCATCTCGTTAATCTTCGGTTTAATATATCACTGGATATATCACATTTGAATTGTGCATTTAAGTAGAGCTCTTTCTTATTTACTGTGTCTTGCTTGGTTTTATCTGTAGTTTCTCAGATATACTTCTTTACAAAGTTGGTAGGGAAGTCATTTTGTAGCAAAGCGTTTGTAAGATTTCTTATTTCATCTTCAATACAATCCGCGGTACATATAAGTCTAATTCTATGACTAAGACAACGAATTAGGCTGCGCTTATATTGTATACGTATGAAGCTATGGAATTTGGTGTATTGTCCGTTCCACGTCACTTTCCTATAGATGTTTCTCTTTAAGGTATCGTTTGTTCTTTTTGTAAGAAGAACATTCAGAAATGGAATAATACTGTGGAGTTCGTCTTCACAAGTGAATTTAATAGCTGGGTGTACCTTATTGAAGACTTGAAGCAGGTGTTGTCTATTAAATTATTGTTACAAATGATAGAGTTATCGTCAGTATATGGACAATATTAAGTCATTTGGTTTAGTATCTCTTTTGAAAAACTATTTTCCAATTTAGATAGAAATATATCAGTTAATAAGGAACCAAGAGGAGAGCCCATAGCAACCCCATCTATTTGGCGGTAATACTCCTTAATAAATACAAATTGAACGTTCATATTGCATTTAAGTAGTAATTATTTCAATTTTCTTGGTGTGATTCGAATTTCTGCTTTCTTTTCTACAAGTTACTCGCATATACAGTCGACAGTTCCTACAAGAGGGACATTAGTAAGTAATGAGAATACGTTCATATCTTAGATGTTTTCAACAAAGTTGAAGACATCTTTTACACTTCATTTAATCAACTGGCGATGTAGTGGATATAACATATTTACTAAATATTTGACTGTTGAATGGAAAGGCGAGTTCTACATGTCCAGAATCGGAAGCAGGGGAGTGCACTTCTTTTGTATCTTGGGTAAGGCATAAATTCAAACGTATGAGTTCCGGTAGGCTTAATCGCGTCGAAGATGGAACTGTCAGTCGGTTTTCATTTTTGAAAGATTTCAAAGTTTTCACGAATTCGCGTTTATTTGGTTCATTAGAATCTTTACTCTTATCTAAATTTTGAATCTTGAAACAGTCTTACACAATAACACTGACATAGTGTCCGCACTCAAACATGCATACACACTCATGAGAGATTGACACAAATCCCTAGTCTCGTGTTGTGTAATCATCTGCAGTATATTCATGTTGAAGCCAGACTGCAGGTTCAGCTCAACAGAGATTTCATCATCTGTGTACAAACCATTCAAATACTTGATTCATTCACAATCACATAACATCTGTACTCCAATCATACGTTTTGCTGGCAGCATAAACATTGGAAAATGAATAGTGGCTGGGCTCTCTCCATTGAATTAGAAGAACTTCTTATCAAAATATCCGAATTCTACTTATTGAATACTTTTATCTCTATTAAACACTTTCTGTGATTGCGGAATTAAATGAATCCGATGAAAACACTGCTTGGTCAAGTCTATTTTGTACTCTCTTCAGCAATCACTGTCAACATTAGAGTTTTGTCCCTTCCGTTTAGGTCTCATTCATGCTGATGGTGACAGAAGGACATTACTAAAATGTTGAATATTCCGACAGAGATTAAAATCCATTACATACTGCCTATTACTCATATTTTACGTGCACAGAGCTTACTAAGAAGACGATTTTCTTCTTATTCGATAAAATTTGAGGCTTCTTGCCACTCATCAATGAGTCGCATCTGTGACCTTGATGGAAATCCTCTTTGGGTTTAAAACCACATCAATCATTTATAAGTCATTTTTGATTTTTATACACTGGGTTTTTAGGAATAAAATTGTATTCTCATTTGTATCACGCAATGAAATGTATTACAAAGCCGTCGAAAACACTGGCAAGCATAGGAAAGCTGTTTTCTCATCTTAGTTGTTAACTCAGTGGAAGTACACATTCACCCCAGAAGTTTTGAACAATGGACTTCCGGTTACAAGGAAGGCTTGTTCCTTAACCCTTCATTCAAGTGAGTTCCAACTTAATGGTTTATTACTAACGACGTCTAATTGCAACAACATACAGAGGATGCATATTGCCAAAGCTATCATATCCACAATAGGCATTTTGCTGTATTTGGGCTCATAGCCTATACATGCAAATTTATGGTGCTGTCCCAATTAAAACCTCAAAATTATTACCCATTGTTTCAAAGGTAAATGCGTTATCCACTGGAACAAAATTAGGCCACAACAACTAACAATTCTCGTACAAAGTGCATCAAGCACATCGTCGATTCTACGGCTAGTTACTGTCCACCAAATTACTTCGTGTAATTTTTAGTTGATGTGAAACGATGTATCTGCCTGTGTAAGAGAAATTTTATAACGTATGTGTCTAAATATCTCCAGTGTTTTGTGTTTAAGCGTTTTCTCCAGTCTGAATGATGGTTCATCGCACAAACGTGAACCAATAGATTCAGTCAATTTTTGGTTGGTTATTGTGAGTAACCAATGAAAGAAATAGTGTCATGTGTAAGCTGTATAAATAGTCGAGAAAATATACCATCAGTGCCAAGTTAGATAGAGGCTATTCAACACATTTTGTGGGTGAGTTTCTGTGGTATAATTATATATATATATATTATACATGTGAATGTTGAAGAGATTGTGTCTGGACAGTCTCTTGGGCCAGTGAAGGACTGGACCAAGCATCTAGACAAACACGTCCGTAAGTGACAATTTATCATGCCTAGTGTTGGGCAGATAACAGCTACAAGTTAATATCAGTAAAAAGTTTGAGCCTTGTGGATTAGATCAAATAAAGTATAATTGTATTTCAATAGTTTACATACAATGATAAGTTTTGTTATTGGTAATATTTCGAGCAAATCTACTGCCCGTGTTCACACCACTGTTGGGATTGTTTTATTCACACATTTATGATTTGTACTCAAATTTATAGTTCATTATTATAATTTTTTATGCTCATTCATGTTTTTTTGTATTCAGAATTATATTTCACGTTGTTGATAGTTGTACTGAGTCACCCTTGTTACATGTATTCGGTGTGACTTTAATGAATATCGATTCTGTTATGAGTCTTTCTTTCCACTCGCACATATTAGTTTTTAGAATACACACATTGTTCCATCGATATAGTGGCTTTTGTCTCATGCATGTGCAGCTATCGATGAATTCTTTTCAAGATTCTTGTAAGCTTGTGTTCCTGTTGGTTGACCTTTGATTAGGCGTTTATGTTCATTCACTCTTATTTTGAGTGATCTGGACGTTTGCCCCACATATTTAGTTGGACAGTCAGCACAAGATATTTTATAAATCAGATTGTTTTTATCCATCAATTTTATGGGATCTTTCAGTTGATTTATTTTATTTTTGATTAGATTTGTAGGTTTAAAGGTTGTTCGAATGCCGATATTTTTGAGGTTTCTTTGTATTGCCTCTGATGTACCATTTTTATATGGTAATGTAACTGTTTTTTTGCATTCTTCCATCTTGTTGTTCTCCCGGTTTACCCTCTTTTTTCTCTTTTTCATATTATCTTTTACAAATTCTTTTGAGTAGTTCTATTTGAATAACATTTTGAATAGGACGTTTATTTCTTTACACTGGTCCTCTGGTGTTGTCGTAAGTCTACGTATTCTATCTGCAAGACCTTGCATTAATCCTCGTTTTACCGAGAGTGAATGAGCTGGGTGATAATCAAGGAATCTTCCACAATGTGTGGCTTCTCAATATATCGTTGTTTTTATGCTAGCATCTGTCATTCTTTGTAGTTTGCAGTCTAACATGAGCAGTTCTCCAATTTCATTCTCTAATTCCATAGTGAATTTTATTGAGTCGACGTGTCTGTTTATGTGTGGGAAAAGTTTCTCAGTATCGTTTTTGTTCACTATTACTAGTTTGTCGTCTACATATCTCCACCAACATTTTAGTGATGACCTGAATAATTCAAGGGCGTTCTCTTCCCAATAATCCATGAATATGTCAGCTATCATTGGTGAGATAGGCGATCTCATAGCTACTCCTTCGTCTTGATGCTATAGATTCCCTTTGAATGTGAAATATGTTGTTGTCAGTCAAAATTCCACCCCTTAACCACAGGTTAGCCTATATTGTGTTATCTGTACATCGGCATGGAATTGTAGAAACACAAAGACGAACTCTCTTATAATGTCCTATGGTTGATATCTTTGTAATTTTGCAGCCCTGTCTGTTCATTGGAAGATTCATTTCGACAAGTCTTTTTTTGAAGATAATCTTAATATTGTATGCAATTCCTGAGACTTTGTTTAATATAACTAATCTGAAGGATTTGTCAAGTAGCGTTACTCTAGTATCGTCAATTGGGTGTGCCATCACCGCATATTCCATCTCCCTTATTCATGCGACTGATATTGGTGTTCTCTAGACAAAGCAGTTAGGTCAGATTATTGCTGAATTATATTCTCCAGTTAGCTTTCTGTAATAGAGTCATCAAACCGCTGACGACACATCAATAAATGTAAGTCCTCAAGTGGTTCGATTTGCATTTAATTTGGTAGTAGTATTAGTAATCCAATGGAATAATCGGAGAGAAAGGCAGCAATGGAAATCTGTTTCCTCATTTGTTTCCCTTAGACTTTTGTTTAATTTAATAATGAAATCATCTATCCCCTTATGAGTGACAGTAGATGCATGCGTCTCCAGTGGTATTCATTTATCGTAAGATAATCCATGACTAATTTCGACTGCTGTGTAAGACAATCTGTTCGATTTCAGTTGTTCGACAACGGATGTCATCGATGTGGCTGAGAGTTTGGGTCTGTAGCAAGATATGTGATTTCTTTTGAAGACGATGTTCAGCTCTCCTCAATACTAGATGTGATAAGTTCTTCACATCGCTCAGTCACTCATTGGCTGGAAGAGACTTATGGATTAGTGAAGAAGCTGCTGTTGCGGTACAGTTCGCCGGTTTTCTTGATTCATTCAAGAACTTCAGCCTGGTAGAAATAACTTGTGTGTTTATAAGCAATGACTATCAAGTTTCACCTTAAAATCTTATTGAAAAAATACCAAGAATGAACCAGCCCATAATATTCCGACAAGTTGATAGTGCATCAGAATGGTGTTCAATCAGCCTGAAGCATTCGCAAAGGACATGAAAAAAAACAGCGTTGAACCGTGGCTCAAGGTTCCACCAACGGCGTTTGGAATGAGTCAAATCTCACCCTCTGGGTTGATTTTAGTTTGTCATTATCATTATTGTTTCCTTGGGTTCCAAGTGTTGACGAAGGTGTGCAGCTGAATGTCCGAAATGCTATTCATGGCTCACTTGCCTAGTTTAAGATCATATAGAACAGCTGACTGACTTAACATTGGTGTTGAAAATCCTTATCTTGATCTTTATGCTCAGGTGCAGTAAGGAAGATTCCCGAATCAGTGTATAGGCTAAGATGATAGTCCGTCATAAATTTCCGAAGAGCTTTGGCTTCGACAATCTCATCCCTTCCGACAGCCTGTAGTGAAGGTCATTTCAACTAAACGTAGACGTGTAGTTGAAGAAAAAGAAGTGACATCCTGGAAATTAATTCCTCTGAGAGCGATTGACGCTTGTTGGTGGTGTTGCCTGGTTGGTTGTTTAGATAGTTGGTTAGTTATCTTCGTCCTTGATTAGTCGGATACTTCTTCTCGAACTCCCCTGTGTTCATCTGAATTCCTGTGTTTGCTGGCTCATTCCTCGGCTAGTGTGTTGGTCTTTTTCTTCAATAATCTCAATTTGATGTGACATTAAGCGTATGTGATAGTAGTTTTGACTATGTTTTACTCAGAATTTTGGCAAATAGTTATCTCATTTTTTAATACTTGATAGAATTCACCTATATTTAAATGGATGGGGCTGTTAATCTCTGGCTCATCAGACATTTTTAGAATTCTCTACAACTCACTTGGTGTTTCAAAATTCCACTTTTCAATAGTGTTTCTTTATAATAGTTTTCCTGACATTTCTCTGCAATTGTTTTGGTGCTTCGAAACCCTTTTTCTTGATAAATATCAATGCAACAAAATTCATTACATTTAGTTTCACTGTAACCTTGCTTTCGTGATGGTCATCTATAACTGAAATCGAAAATCCTTGTACGTGAAATAACCAATTCATAGTAACGACGATGCTTTGAATCAGCTTATTTAAACGCAGGATTATTGTTTTCTCCGCTCCTACTATTGTTTCTTTTTTGCAGGTGTTGTTCTGATTGACTAATTTCTTATCTTCCTGATGCTGAGGGGAGGAACCCAATAGGTCATACTCACGTTGCCTAGATACTTATGTAACAACCCTCTTCTCCGGCATGAGCCTAGCAACCGTGTTTTTCATACAAAGCCGATACAGAAACTTCAACACGATGAGTCTCCTTGAGACAAAAATTAAAATCTGAGTGGGGACGTGGATGTTCCGCACCATGTACGAGACAAGCGAAGTAAACTGGATTGCAAATGAGGTGAAATAAATATAAATACAGGTACTTCGAAAGCAGATGGAATGGAAGTGGATTCACACAATTGTCAATGTGTGAGTCAGTGATTTGCTCCGGTCACTCAGCAGAAAACCACGAGCACACCGAGGGTGCGGTTGTGATGATGTTACCAACCGCAACGAAGTCCATGATGCAATCGGAAGCGATCTTGCAGAGAGGTAATGATCGCCAAATTTACCTCCAAAGGAAGTAAATTGTCAGTTATACAATGCTATGCACCTCAAAAAGAAACAAGAGTTCAACAGACAACTACAGGCAACGACGGACAGTTCTATGGGCGACGATATTAAATAACAATGGAAGACATGAATCCCTTACCGGGACCAGACAACACAGGAAGAGAACTAATTATGGAGCTAGAGAAGCCCTCGGAGAATCAAATGAAAACGGAGAGCTCTTTGCTGACTTCTGTGCCTTCAACAGACTGGTGATTGGCGGCAGCATATACAAACACAAGAATATATTACTGTCACCAGATGGGCGAACCAAAGACTAGACTGACTTCATTGCAATGCTGCTCAAGCAGTAAGAGACGCAGCCTACTGGATAAAAAAAGTAAGAGGAGGATCAGGCGCTGACTCACACCACTATCTCTTACAATTAAAACCCCGAATCGATTTAAAAGCTTTCGAGGAAACAGAAGCTGCAGATACACCACAAGACTAGTTCAGTAATCATGAACTGAAGGATCTGGACACAAATGGCATCTTCCCTGTAATCATAGGGAAAAGGAGGAGACATAAATTAATACTAGCGAAGAGACCAACGTTGAATTTACTGTAATATACTGAAAGCGATGTGGATTCAAACCTGAATGGATGTCCTAGTCACATAAAAGAGGTGGGATAAACAGTGGCCCACTACAGACACATGGAGACTAATATAAGAGAGAATGTTGCTGAAACAAAAAAATATCCAGTCTGTTGACGAGCATAGAAAAAAAACGAGTTGAAAAATAGCTAAACACGTTGAACATAATGGTGAAGCAGAGCACCAGGGATGAAAAAAGAAAATATTATGAGGCCATGGGAAGTGAAGCAGAAAAAGGAGACCTTGCAAAACTTTACCAAAGTAAGACACCTATCGACAAATAGATCAGCAGAAATTAAGCCAGTGAGATATGACAATTAAAAGCTAAAGAGGGGAAAAACGAAAACCCTGGGCTGAACGATTCAATAGACTTCTACATCGACCGCTACCTGCAGTGCGCGCATTGATACGAAGAGCGGAAGCAGAACTATCAGTGAACATCAAGCCTTCAATAAAAAGAAAAATCCTAAAAGCAATGAAGATGTATAACAATGGAAAATCAGTGAAAATAGATGGAATCCTAGCAGAGGCATTACAAATGGACCCAGAGACATCAGCGGATCTGATGACCTCACTACTGTAATAAATGCGAAAAGAGGACAAGGTGCCTGAGGATTGGAAGAAAGACGACTTTTTCAAAGTACCAAAGAAAGGAGACTGACTTGGCATTATGCACATCCCGGGCGAAATTTTGATCTGCACCATTCTGCAGAGAATCTAACACGCTCTGAACGAAAAACGTTGACCGAAACAGGTGGGTTCCAGGAGAAACAAATCATGCATCGATGAAATTGGAACAGTTTGGATCATGACCGAATGCAGCCTGAAGTGGCATTCAGCTTTCTATCTCAACTTTATCTGGTTCGAAAAGCCCTTTGACAACGTAGATCGAGAGAGAGAGATCGACAAATACTTCGTTACTACCAAGGAGTGGCGCCAACAAATACCACATCCAATAGATGTACGACTATGCCGCATGCCATAAAACCCATAACGGGAAACTCACGGAATCCTTCGAGGAAATGAAAACACGATAAACATAGGGTCACTTACCAACTACAATGATTTTCCCGATTGCTATGGATTGGTCAATGCAACAGAGAGCAGGCGGAGAGGACACAGGCAATAAATAAAACCACACAAAAATTGAAGGATTTGGACACCAGAGCTGATTAATGCCTGATATACCACAAACTGGGAGATGTGCAAGTGAAAAGCAACAAGTTGACAGAAGTAGCATCCAGAGACAATATGCCTTCCGGTAAACATAGAGAAAGCAGAGGTGTTGACGATTCCTGGTCAACAGTAACAGCAGTAACAACAGACAACAATCAGCAAAAATTTGAGGAATCAGAAAGAAGCAACCTCCTCAACCTAACTACCTGGCTAGGAAGCATCGTTTCAACTGCAGGTGAAACTAACGGGATCAAGGATCAAGAGAGCAAGGCAAGCTTTAACTTCTCTCAAGTCTGTGTAAAGATCAACAGCACTCGGTATGGAAAATAAGATCCGGATCTTCAGCTCCTATGTGAAGTCAGTGCTACTATGCGAATCAGAGACTTGGTGCGTCACGAAGCGCTCTTCGAACAAACTACAAAATTCCATCATTAGCTGTCTTCGCTCAACACTACTCAAGATCAGATGGTCAGAATCAATCAGCGACAGGGATCTCTGGGGGAGAGCCAACTAGGAGCCCATTATGCAAAATGTATGCGAGAAGTAATGGAGGCAGATTGGCTATACTCTTAGAAAACCAGCAAGTGACGTCACACACGCAGGAATCGCTCGAGTGGAATCCGAACGGAAAGGGGCGATTCGGTCGTCAGTGCAAGAATGTCAAGGAGGAGGTCATGTGAAGAGGAAATGAAAAAAATGACGGCAGGCATGAAGTCAAGTGCGAACGCTGGCGGAGACCCGAACGCAATGGAGAGTTGCATCTGAAGCCATATGTTCCTCTCAGAACTAAAGCAAACAATAATAATATTAGTAACGTTCAATTAGACGGCTGAATGTCAAATCCAATGTGAAACAAAACAGCACCCTATGTACGTGACATCACCATCGCTAGAAGCAAAATGATTATCAACTCGAAACTCGATCACTGCTCACTTTGACAGTGGCTGATTTTTTCTTCACACTCGACCAGTTCATTATCATTTTTTTTATTCCTGACTATAATCTATCATCTCTTTCTCTCATGACCTCCTGCACGTCAATCAAGGCCGAACAACTCGTTGTTTTGCATTTGGATTCCTCTCAACCGAGGCCATAGTGTGCATTGTCATTTGACGGTATCCTCAATGTATTCCTGATCTATCTCCACTTTCTCCTCCATATTCGTTGAGTGATCGGCACTCGCCTGTTAGTTTGTTCCCAGCCAGACTTTCTTTTTAGTTATTCTTTCTGGTCACCTGGCCACTGCAACTTCAGTAAAGAGGCAGCAAAGGCAACTGTTGATGAAAGCCTGAAGCCAGCCGGAAATTCTCTTCATGACAAGCTGGCTAAGTTTCTGACCTGTAGACGTGCCTGCTTATATTTGTGTTGAAAATTCGAATCGTGTCTCGTATGCTGAGTGTATTAGATTTCCTAACTGATTTCAGTTTGAAGAATGCGTATCGTGCATCTCCGATTCTGGCTGAATTTGTTATCTTAATCCGTGCAACCTACCCGTATTTCAAACAATGTTTCCTAGACAAGTGAATGAGGTAACATTTTTTAATCTCTCTCATTGATAGTATATTGTGCTGGTTGTTTATGCTGCTAGTTGTTTGTTCAGTTGGTTGGCTGGATATCATTATCACCATCGTCTTCTCTGTGCTCACCTGCAGTCCTGTTTTGCTGCCTGCCTCTCCTGCCAGTTTGTTAGTTTCCATAGGCAGGTCTCTGAGTTTGTGTTATATAAGACACATATAATCTGCGAAATCCAAATCTTCAGAATCTTGTCAGTAATTCACCGCATTCCCCAATACAGCTTTTTCCAGTGGGGATATCTGTATTCGGTGCATACTTTATTTTCTTCAAGGTGATTCGAATTAGTATAATACTTGTCGTAAACAAAAGGATTAATACATGGCTGTCAGTTGTTGCCGAGTGAGGCGTAAGTTGCCCTTCTTTGGTAGTTTGTCAAGTTAACTACCCTTGTTTTAATTGGTAGGTACCTTCTCTTCTTTAAAGCTTTTCGCAGTAATGGACTACAATATCCACAGTATTCTCTGAGTCCGTCTTGGGTGCTTCACAAGGAATGTCATCTGGTCCTGCTGCCTGCCTGAATTACTTTCAGTAGCTTGATCTCATTCCGGATGTCTTTTTTCGTTGAATGATTGTTGTACACTGACAGTTTCGTGAGTGATGCTGGTTGTGATTTTTGGCGAGTTGCCAGTGGTGTTCGATTCAAGAGTCCTTTACAGTGATCAGTTTGATTTGATTCCCCCACTTAATAATCAGGTTCCCTTGACTGATTTCATCATGTCGGCTGATCTCTTCCAAGATTTAAATTTACCAGGTTACCTGATATAATGTTCTGATGTCTTTTTTACCTGCAACCTGATGTGCTTCATTCGCCAGTCAGTATGTCGTGTGATTGCCATTTGTCTTTCCCAGCGGTCCTCTTTATTGCATTATTCAGTGCGACGTACACTTTAATCAGCTCCTCCTTCTTTCGCCCATGTCTGCATGGAGGCATCTTTTCTCTCAGCACCCAACTCTCTTCCCCTAGGTTACAGGCACATGTATATTGAGAACCATTCCTTGTCTTGTCTCTTCCTTATCCTAGAAAAGGTTCGCACGTTTCCTTGAATTTCGCCCTCAGCGAGTTAGTTCCAATGTTTTACCGCTCAGGCCTTCTCAGTGTTATCATGGAGGGTTTCCGAATTCGCTCTGATCTGATGTGATCTGTAGTGAGGGCATCCTTTGTAATTGCTGAGTGTTGAAGCTGAATTACAACGGCATGTCTCCATTTTTTTCTGGGGTTCGAGCTTTACTATGAAGGTTCATTCAACTAGCTAGACAATTGACTATGCGCAGATGTGCTCCCATTCTCGACTCTGTATCCAGTAGTCTGCATCTCCACTTACGTGAGGAGCTTCAGATGAAATCTGTTTTGTTAAGGATGTGTCCCTCAGGCGAAATCAATGATTTTTTTGAGAATGTACACACCGTGTCCAATCATCACATCATTAAAAGCACAGAAGTCTGTATCTTGCTTCCATCAAATGCATCATCTGTAGACACTATTGTATGGCCAACCATGGATGCACGATGCTATATACTACGTAATTATTGATATAAGTAAATGTATACCAGTGATGCCTGCTAGCTGGATGGCTGGCTCAAAGACCATAGTGTTGAAAGTGACTAAAGCCTCATATAAGTGCTTCGCTCATTTGGGTCGACGATCATCAGTTGCGTACAGAGTATGACTCAGCTGAAACAGTAAAATAAGCTGGAAACTGGAATGCTTGAAAACACACATCTGCCTAAGACGAATGAGAAGAGGTTCGCCACTGATGATTTCAGGTTCAAATGAGAGTGATGACCTCTGCGAGTTATGATCACATCAACCTAGCTAGCTAACTAGCTAGATGACAAGCACTACTGGTTGATGTCTGTATGTGTTTGTGTGTGATTTTGTGTGCCATACAACTATCCATTTCAATCAGTCAGTAGTATGTTGGGTCATGCACATACGCTTGCTTTTTTGATTGACACTATCTAGCAGACCACATATTACACTGTGAATATTTTCTGTCTGTTTAAACATGGTTTTATTTCGCCTCATTGGACTGCGTATAATTGACTTGCAAATGTCATTGACTGAACATTCAAGTTGATCAGCATCAGAAAAGTAGTCTGCACAACGCTTAACAAATCTCCATCTAGCCTGAGAGTGTTCAACATACTCTATTCAAGAATGCTCTTCATGCGTCTTGCGCGTCAGGCCATCGGTCGAGTTGTGCGTGACCCTAATGATGCAAATAATGCAATCGTAGGAAACTGGAGAATATGAGAGATAACACGCAGTCATCTGACTGAACTGCAGAGGACCCCAGAGAAGAGGATATTGTGAGATATGCTTTCGAATCTGTATGTCTGACTTGGAATGCAAAGCAACTGGAAACGTCACTCACTTTCATACATTTCAAATTGAATGAAATTGAATGTCATCGTTTTTCCCACTGATTATTTAATTTCAGTAAAATGGTCTCTCAAAGAAAAAAATTGTACCTAATCCTACTTATAAGTCTGTTCATTGTCAATATTGAAGAGATTGAATCAGCAGAATATGATTTTGACTTCACACTTGATGAATCAGGTAATTCAAATTTATTCTCTGTGTAAATGAATGAAGTAATAATAATTTCACTGGTTATTCCGCTTCCTGACAAATCTGATTGCTGGATAAGTTACCTGCAATTTAGGTGAGAATTGATGATTACTGTGAGAGCATATACTCACTGATGCTGAGACTGGATAACGCTGGCGCAATTTATTGCCGATAAGCAAAAGTGCGAATTCATAGGCCACTGGATTCCGTTCTAGAGAATGAAAAATCACCGAGATCATCTCGTCAATTAGACGTTTCAGGTGTGATGATGAGTGCATACTGCTGGAAAGCCTCAGACTGAGACCAATTGTTTGCCAAGTTATTCTCGTTTTTCAACTCTTTTCTTTACCGATATCACTTCACGATCCATATTCGGTATCCCAACGATTTGCAAATGTTTCTCTTTATTCCACATGGTGGTTAACCCAATCAACAGCTTCATGTAGATTTAAGCCAAGAGTCATGTGATTCAAAATCGAGAATTCAGAGAGGCTTGCCTTCTATGTGAAGACAACAGTTAGATGAGGACACCTGCCTGATTTCACCAATGCTATTCCTCGTCGTGATGGCTAGGAAGCATCCTTTCAACTACAGCCAGCTGGAATTGATGAGGATGTCATTAGCGGAATCGCGATTTCGTTGCAGATCTTCCTTGCTCTGAAATCAGTGTGGATGTTGGCAACGCACCACTTGAGCACAAATAACGTGGTTCGCATTTTGAACACCAGTGTTTAGTCAGTGACTTCTCCTATATGAGTCAGGAAATCGGCGAACATAGATCAAGCAATGTCGGCAGTAATATATTTTGCTTCAATACTTTTTGTCAATTCACATATAGTCGACAAACTAACCAACTTCCTCTTAAACATTCATCCATTACCTGTATTTGCCTTAATGTGTTGTCGAGCATATTGACCAACCATTCAATTAGTAGTCTCTCGTTTGAACTGAGAAAAATCTAAGTTAGTCAGTCGATAAAGTCCCCACATATTTTTAATCTGACTGTACAAAACTGTCGATATAATATGAAGCCGAATTCACTGTAAATTCCTGCACACTGATCCTTCGAATATGGCATATCCTGCGCGTGGAGCATGATAAAGTGAGATTCTTTTATTTCGTTAGTAATTTATCCACGTGGATATTTTCTGTATGTACTAGAAAATGCTCACCGACAGGGCAATAGGGTGAAAGAAAACGAAGCTTAGCAAAGGTGATTTCATCCCCGCATGTTATGCAAACGCATTTATACACATAAATATACAGTTTATGTGATTGTGGAATACTAAGTGTGGACTACGCTCAAGTGTCACCACGTATTGACACGATTCTGGAGAGCTAGTGAAAAACACGGAGAGTCGCTGTGCATTTGTTTTGTCAGCCTTGTTTGGAAATAATCAGGAGTACGCTCTCACTACAGTCGTTCGAAATCGAGACTGTCAAGGAACTTAACCTTATGTTCCTATTATTTGTGAAGACGCTCCGAATCTACAATTAATGTGAACGATTATCGAATTTAACTCCAAAACGCAAGGACCAATAAGAAATTGTACTGTTCGGCAAATAAAATCAATATTTCGTACAAAGTCTATAAACAAATGTTTTACAAGGAATCTTTTGCACTTTAATTCGTATTCTTTCGTCTTCTTCCATCGTGTACATGATTGAATCATTCGCGCCTTTGAGTTGCCAGCCACTGGCGACCTAGGCCAATGAACCGATGTTCAATGTTCACATTCATTGACAATGACCTTCTGTTCACTAGGCAAGCAAGCTCATAGACCATTCAGGCAGTGTGTCTCGCCTGAATCCACCGTGAATTCTAACTTAACTGGGTTCGAATTGCTCTGTATACGCACTGACGTTCGGCCGAAAACTACTATGAGACAGCGGGGTGTTCAGTACTCTTTGCTGGCTTCCTTTTTCTATTCTAACTCACATCAAATCATGTACAAAACTAATCTTTATTTGATTCATTGCAAAACAACAAACATCACATAAAAACTGAGCGTAGTTATAGTGCGTAAATTAGTCATTTTGTCAATTAGTAAGTTAGTTAGACAAGTATGGCTAATTTATGCAAGGAAAAGTGAGGCATAGTCAAATTGTCTAAACAACTGAAGAACGCTGACATGACTAGGCATAGAAATCCTAAGATCACTAGAGTTATTTCATTCGTCCGTTGTAGGTCTGCAGTGACTTCATTGATTTTGAGTTTAATGACCAACAGAGTTCAGTTTTGAATTCCTGTCTGAAGTGCCACTGGGAGCTCGTAACAAGTAGTGTTCATCAATTTCAGAATGATGGCACATTCCTACCGCCGGTATTGCCCAGCAGTAACACTATCTGTTGCGAATTGAAAACTGAGTTAGAATTGATGGCTTGTTAGATGTTCTCCGGGTCACTGACTGGACAACTAGCATGCCTGGCGACTCGAAACTCGTTAGTGTCATCTGGCTGAATGTTATTTGGTTATATCTACTCCAAAACAGTTCATTGATCTATATTCAGGGTAATTCCTCAGTATTCAATCTGTCCTCAGTACTGTCAACCTGCAGATAAGAATGATATTTTCCAGTGTCATCGTTTACATTGCAAGATGTTTCGATATTCACAGAACAGCCATGGACTAACAGACGTCTACTGATATAAAATAGGGTGACGATTGAGGGTGGAACAAAATTCTATATTGCTGCGAGATATGAATCTAAAACTTTCAAAATCTCATCATCATTATTATTTTGACTTCATTCACGAGGTAGGTCTACTTGTAGAGATTTCCAACATTTCCTCTTTGAATCATTAAAATGTGTCTCTCTTTATTTTATTTTAAGGAATAATAACTGTCAATTTTGGGTCGTTCCAGTTATCTTTATATGATAATTTCACAGTTGGTGCTACTTCTAATGGCTGTATATGGCTAGTTGACTTGGACAGACCGAAAACAAAAGAGAGAGAAAATATGGGAGGAATTCGTGAATGTTACTTGTGAGTCTTCTTTCCTAAGTGACTTATGTGTGTTCCGAAGCTATTTGATAAATATTATATCCAAATTACTTGATAATGATAACATAAATAGGCTCACACTATTCTCGAAAACGCTACGTACGTTTACGAGAAAGCCTTCTATTCTAAAGAAAACTGAGGTTTCTTCCTATCGTTGTTGTCTTGAGTGTAGAGTGTATGCGTCATTTAATTCCCGTGAACAAATATAGGTAGAATATTCTTTTCAATAATTTCTCATCAGGTTCTTACAATTATAAAATATAATATTTGTGGTCGTTACAATAAAGATAGCCAGGTATGCGGCGGATACATTTTTTAACGTAGAATAACAGATTAGTTATGGGGTGTCAAAGTAAATAGTCATATTTGTGTGACAAACGTGCTAGGCTGAAATCGATTAGAAATATTGTAAAACGGGAGACAATAGTGGTGGTTAATCATAATGGAATTGTAGAGTGTGGGGTAGGAAAATTGACAAATCAGTTCAAGGTTATAAAAGGTGTCAGGTGAGTGGCTAGTACAAAGTGGTCTGAGTTAAGCAGGATATAGTATGACTGGAATGAGAGGTTCATTGTGAGATAACGAATATATTAAATGAAACAGGTGGAGGCATATATTGAGAAAACAGATAATATCACTAATAATAAGTCCGTACAAATGAAAATTCGATAGTATTGAGGGAATGTTTGCATAAAGGGCATAAATTATGACGAATAATAATAACTGTAATAATAATATTTATAATAATAAGCAAATTAAAAGAAAAAAAAAACAAAACAAAAAAAACCAAGAGGCTTACGGGGAAAGAGCACTCTTGGTGAGAAGAAAAATCTTCAATCCAAGGTTGGCCACGGTAGGAACAGCGTCTGGACGTGTTCCTTTTGGATACACAGTTCCGGTTTAGTCGATCTTATTGCAACAGCTTCAGCTATGTGTAGGAGACGTAAGCGAACTGTACGTGATAACGACTTCGGAATTCGGTATATAACTCTGAAAGCTGTGTTGACATCGATGCGATGTCCGGTATCGACCAGGTGTGACAGGATCGAGCTTTTTATGCACTTAATTTCCCCCCTGCTGAACCAAGCTGGTAAGTGTTCTCGAACCCGTAGACGAACCTGCCTAATCGTGCGCCCTATATAACTTGAACCACAGGAACAGTTGAAATGGTATATGCATGAAGAAGAGCTAAGGTTAGGTAAGGCATCTTTGAGTTGCTGGGTGAACATTGGACGGCTAGTGAAGGATAGACACAGACGTGCAGAATAGAAAGTTTTCTTGATCGCCCTGGTTAAACGTTGGGATAGAATCTCTGCAGGAGTATCTCCCTTGAATTGGAGACGTAAAAACAGAGGCTTTTTCTCCACAGTTGTCAGTTCATGTTTACGGCTATTATAACCTATGTTGGCTTTAATGAACTTCTCTGGATATCCGTTCTCGCTTAGAATGTCTCGGATGATCTGGAGTTCATTCTCTACGCATTCTTCAAAAGACTAAGACAAAATGAAAACATAGTTATTACCAGACCGGATAAGGGGCCGGGGATAGTAATTATGGATAAGCAGGACTACATCAATAAGATGAACTCCATACTAGCTGACAGAAGCAAGTTTCAGAAGCCGAAAGCGATGAAAGATCACACGGAGAAAATAGAGAAAGAAATAACAAACTTATTAAAAGATTTGAAGGGTAAAGGCTATTTATCACCAAAAACTTTCGAAAACATAAAACCTACAGGGAGTACCATCTCACGTATGTATGGTTTACCGAAAGTGCATAAATCAGGAGTGCCCCTACGCCCCATACTAGACATGTCCCATTCACCCTATCACGAGACGGCAAAGTGGCTGGTACAGCTGCTTCAACCCTTGCATGACGAGTTAGTAAAGCACAGCGTCAAGGATACCTTTCAATTTGTTGATAAGATAAAAAACCTGAACGCGACTGGCAAATATATGGCATCACTTGATGTTTCATCTCTATTTACGAATGTGCCTCTAGTGGAAACAATCGATTATATCTGTGAACAGATTATAGAAAAGAAATTGTGCACTGATATTCCTATCAGTAATCTGAAACAACTACTTGTTAAATGCACAACGAATGTTCAGTTCCTATTTAATAATGAAATATACAGACAGGTTGATGGAGTAGCCATGGGATCCCCACTGGGACCTATTTTCGCGAATATATTTCTAGCAAAACTAGAAAATAGTCCGTTGAAAGAGGAAATAGCGAAAATGGAAATGTATTGTCGTTACATGGATGACACTTTTGTAGTGTACGATGAAGGGTTAAATAGTGATTTGATTTTGAACAACTTCAATAGTGCTCACCCAGCGGTCCATTTCACCTACGAAGGAGAATACAACGAATCCTTACACTTCCTCGACGTCCTACTAACAAGAAGAGAGGATGGTTCCATCAAAAGAACCATATTTAGAAAGCTAGAGACCAAAGCCCAGTATACACATTTCCTTAGCTTCGTACCGATGAAATACAAACGTAATCTAATCAGGTGCTTAGCATTTAGAGCGAGGTCGATTTGTTCTGAAGAATGCGTAGAGAATGAACTCCAGATCATCCGAGACATTCTAAGCGAGAACGGATATCCAGAGAAGTTCATTAAAGCCAACATAGGTTATAATAGCCGTAAACATGAACTGACAACTGTGGAGAAAAAGCCTCTGTTTTTACGTCTCCAATTCAAGGGAGATACTCCTGCGGAGATTCTATCCCAACGTTTAACCAGGGCGATCAAGAAAACTTTCTATTCTGCACGTCTGTGTCTATCCTTCACTAGCCGTCCAATGTTCACCCAGCAACTCAAAGATGCCTTACCTAACCTTAGCTCTTCTTCATGCATATACCATTTCAACTGTTCCTGTGGTTCAAGTTATATAGGGCGCACGATTAGGCAGGTTCGTCTACGGGTTCGAGAACACTTACCAGCTTGGTTCAGCAGGGGGGAAATTAAGTGCATAAAAAGCTCGATCCTGTCACACCTGGTCGATACTGGACATCGCATCGATGTCAACACAGCTTTCAGAGTTATATACCGAATTCCGAAGTCGTTATCACGTACAGTTCGCTTACGTCTCCTACACATAGCTGAAGCTGTTGCAATAAGATCGACTAAACCGGAACTGTGTATCCAAAAGGAACACGTCCAGACGCTGTTCCTACCGTGGCCAACCTTGGATTGAAGATTTTTCTTCTCACCAAGAGTGCTCTTTCCCCTTAAGCCTCTTGGTTTTTTTTTCTTTTAATTTGCTTATTATTATAAATATTATTATTACAGTTATTATTATTCGTCATAATTTATGCCCTTTATGCAAACATTCCCTCAATACTATCGAATTTTCATTTGTACGGACTTATTATTAGTGATATTATCTGTTTTCTCAATATATGCCTCCACCTGTTTCATTTAATATATTCGTTATCTCACTATGAACCTCTCATTCCAGTCTTACTATATCCTGCTTAACTCAGACCACTTTGTACTAGCCACTCACCTGACACCTTTTATAACCTTGAACTGATTTGTCAATTTTCCTACCCCACACTCTACAATTCCATTATGATTAACCACCACTATTGTCTCCCGTTTTACAATATTTCTAATCGATTTCAGCCTAGCACGTTTGTCACACAAATATGACTATTTATTTTGACACCCCATAACTAATCTGTTATTCTACGTTAAAAAATGTATCCGCCGCATACCTGGCTATCTTTATTGTAACGACCACAAATATTATATTTTATAATTGTAAGAACCTGATGAGAAATTATTGAAAAGAATATTCTTCGTTCAGATTGACTTTTAATTCATAATATGGGAATATTTCACATTATCAAATATAGGTAGTAACAGAAATAGTAACAGCCAGATCAGTATTGGTAGAATTAATTTAGATGTATGTTTATGTATTTAATTGCTTCTGTAAAGCTCAGTGCATTCGAAAGCAAACAAAATATTGCTTCAAATCAACAGCGTCAAAATGCATTCCTAACGGGAACTGATATGCCTTAAAACGCTGAACATTCTCAATTTCTATCTTAGCTTTGCATGATCTTTCATATTCTCCGGAGACAGATTTCACTCATTATGCCGATAGAATATCAACCTCTGTCCCAGTGCCTTCTACACTGCGTTCTTCTCACATGAATGCATTCTTATCTGATTTTTACAAATAGTCTCATTCGAAATTGTATACAACCAAATGCATCCAAATGACAAAGAGTAGCTCTGACTTCACATTGGAGCTGCAGGTCCGGATCTTGTTTTTCATGCTGAGTTTTGTCAACCTCTACACAGACCTGAGAGCATTGAGAGCATGCCGAGCTTTCACGATCCTCGACTAGATATCCCCGTCAGTTCGCGTGTAGTTGAAACGATGCTTGTCAAGTTGATAGGTGCAGGAGGTTACTTCTTTCTGATTTCTCGCCTTCGTGCTGATTGTTTTCTGTCGTTGTTGTTGTTGCTGTGTATCACAAAACGTCAACACCTATGTTTTCTCAGTGTTCACATGGAGGCCTATCGTCTCTGGATGCTTCTTCTGCAAACTTGTTACTTTTTACTTGAATATCTCCAATTTTGTGAAAAACCGGACATAAATCATCGGTGAAGCCCGGATTCTTCACTTTTTCTGTGTGGGTTAATTTTAAGGCATTATCCAGTCAACCACAATCAGTAAAATGATTGTACTTAGTAGGCAACCATATCTTACTCCCATCTTCACTTCTGTGAAGGATTCCGTGAGTTTCCCGTTGTGTGTTATATAACATGCAGCTTAGTCGTACAACTGCTGGATGAGATGTATAATTGGTGGCGGCACCCACAGGTAGCAGCAAAGTATTTGTCAAAGCGCCTCTCCATCGACGCTGTCGAAAGCCTTTTCAAATTCAATGAAGTTGAGATAGAGAGCTGAATACCATTCCAAGCTGTATTCAGTGATGATCCGAACTATTGCACTTTGATCAATGCATGATTTGTTCCTCCTGGTACCCAGCTGATTAGGTCGAAGTTTTTCGTTCAGAGCGTGTTTGATTCTCCCCAGAATGATGCTGTTTAGTAATTTGCTTAGGTTGTGCATAATGCCGCGTAATTCTCCTTTCTGTGGCAGTTTGAAATATTAGCCCTTCTTCCAATCCGCAGGTAACTTGCTATCTTTTCGTAAGTATTACAGTAGTGACGCCATCATGTCGGCTGATGTCTCTGTGTGTATTTTCAATGCCCCTGCTGAAATTCTTCCAGTCCCTCAGCTTTTCCATATTTTAGGGTCTTTATTGCCTTCTTTTTTTATGTTCTCATCCAAAGGTTGCTGTCCACTGATAGTTCTGCTTCCACTGTTGGTATTTTTGCACGCATAGCCGGTGGAAGTCGATTAAACATTCATTAGAAGAATGCAGCTCAGTGTTTACTATGCTGCACCTTTTTGATGATTGACCTTCCATTGTCATTCTTCAGTGGTAAAAAATCAGCCATACGACATTCAGCATGGTATTCGATTGAAGAGACGGACGAATATATTAAAGATTTTATTCAGTAACTGAATCGTAAAATCCGCTTCAACTGGCTCTACGATTCTCCATAGGTTTTCGTCTCCTCCAAAAACACACACGCCCATGCATCAATCGGTGAAAACTTGGCACTCTATTTCACTCTGCCGTCTCCACTGCCTGTGTCTAAGTCAACTCCTTTCCTTTTGTGCATGTTCGTTTGGCGACATGTTCTTCTCTGTCTCAGACATATTCACTTCTCTGCACGATAAACATCAATAGAATATATGCTTAATCTACAGCCACTTACACAAATGATTCTGATTGTAAAAATGTAAGTCTGTCTATTAAATAATCCAATATAGAACACTGGATCCATCAAAACTGATTCTAATGTCTATTCCTGAATTGATTCTCACCTTCATTTTCCTCCCTCTTTCTACAGAGACTGTCAAAGCTGGCATGTGTATCCATTCGCAAAGTGGAGACCTGATAGAATACAAGGTAACAAGGTATGATAAAGTATGGCTGTACAGAAACTGATTGGATCTGCAAAGAAAATGGAAAAATAACACTCCTTACTCAATGCATCACTGAACAATATCTTCAACTGTTCTCATTCAAATGCTTTGCTCAAATTTTTGCAGAAACGTACACGCCTCATTTTCTGAATGTTCAGTATTCTTCTTTATCTCTCTGTAGATTATATCTTTTCGAATAAATGCATATTCAAAAACTCCTTTCGTTCTAATAACACATGAGAAGTGTCCTTCTAAGTTGGGTCAGTCACTGAATGATTGATTTCAGCGATGCATGAGTAATTAATGTCGAGTTGTATTTTCTTTCATGAAGAGACATTTTTAGTATGGAAGAACTGAACACCAGGAGGAATCCAAGTTGAATTGAGTTGTTGCTTACAAAATTTGTGGGAATGGCAGCGAATTCGATGTAGCTGATACTCACCATGTAGACATGATTATGGGAACAGAAGACATGGTTCAGAGTAGTGGCACTTCTCGGATCATTCATCTTCTGCTTTCGATGTGCAATCATATTTATACAGAATTTTTTTTCTCATGAAAATGGATGGGAATAGAACTGATCAGCTGTTGAATGCATTGATGTGAATGCATTGAAGGTGTTGATCAAGTGTATTCGAAGGATGATGCATCAAGATGAGTAATTCCATGATTGAGTCGTGTTCATCATTCACACTGACACAAAGGTAAGTGGGGAATGATATAAGAGCGAGCTTTAAGGAAATAAAAGAGATATAAGCAACATAGTTATTCCCATGAAAGTAGGAGTGTTCAAATAAATTCGTTTTATGTGTGTATAACTCAGATTTCTTTATCTGAGTGTAAAAAGCCTCATAAAGCGAAGCAGTCGATGGCATACTGCCTTCTTTAGCATATTCTTCACTATATACATAAACGTTATGGTCATGTCGACACTTTCTCCGTTGTAAGTTGAAATGGCATTGCCACCTACACCCTCTCGGACTGCTACCTGAAACAAACCAATAACTCAGATCACATCTTCACTGATCATATTCAATATCCAGTCATACAACAAACAAAAACAGACACACTACACTATGACACTATGAATCTACTGTCTCATCCGACATAATCTACACAAAATTCGACTATCACCAAAGAAGACTTTCCCGATGCATCCAAGGCAAATTTTTTCATTAAACCACCGATGAAAACGGTGTTGAGCTGAACAGTTCTTCTGACCAAGTTGATGCTTATCTAGAGAATGAATTGTTACACGCTAATTAGGTGATCTGGAGATAGTGCGTCCAACCAATTTTTGAGTTGAGTGCTTACCTTCAAAAAGGCTCGAATAATCATTCAGTGCGACTTGTATTCTCCTGTCGATTGAATGAATGTCATCTTTACGTGGATCTGACATTCCAAGTATAACAATCAGTTTTGTTATGTACCTAAGTACTGTTTTCAGTTCATTAGTTCAACCCAGAAATCAAACGCAAACCAGCTGATTCAGCGGAGAAAATCTCTTTTCTACAAAGAATGTACTATCAAGCTATCAAGCAGTCATATATGATATACTTCTGAGAAAATTGTGTACGTTGAGGGAATATAGTCATGCGTCCGTATTTTCCTCAGGATAATAGCAATGAAAGTAGGAGATGCAATTAAAAATCACACAAGTATCACGTTCTTATTATAGTTCAGTGTGAAGTGGCAAAACAGTGAGTTTCGGAAATGCAATAGCTCATAGGATATATAAAAGTTGAAAATCGTGTAAGATTACTATCATCACCACATCATTGAGTTGAGTTGAAATAATGCTTACTTATAAAGTTAGTGATTAGCTGAGAGCAGTCTTTTTTCCTAAAGACATTTCAGGCTTGATTAATTCGAAGACGAAAGCAGCAGGTATTTGAATTCATCCTGGAGTGATTTGTCTGTTCATCTCCACCGTAACACATTCTAGTATGTTGATATTGTCCTCTGTTCGAACCAGGTGCTGAGATGTGATTCAGGGGGACGGAGTTGAACCACTGATGCCTAGATTCTTCAAGACATATTCAAGAATCCTAATTGGCAATCGTTAGCCTGTTTTTCTTATTCTCGTGCTATTTTACATGCATTTGAATGGGCTTGTCTAGCTGAAATCATTGTCGATTTGATGTTGATGTTGTTTGGAATAGGTACTTGAACAGGACATTTTTCTAGCAGGAAGACTAGATTGGCAGTTAAACATATTCCTAATGTTGCATATTTCATCTCACATGACTTTAATCTTTCAGAAAGGATCAACTTAGCTTGGCACGCTGATGATCTGACTATCTTCTGTATGTTTACTTGAACTCCTGTCTCTGATGTAAGTTTATCCCGTCACTTCGTACTTGTCAGACAGGAGGTGAATCGTGAGCACGAATGGATAAGTCGTAATACCTTTGACTGCAGCAGTGGATTACGTGGTTTCAAATACAAAGATGACATGAGTTGCTTCAGCGCCGCAGGTACTCCTTATTGATAATTTCCAGGAAGCAGTTGGGAATCAAATGCCTTGAATGTGCCTCCAAATATCTAAAACGTTGAAAAAGCGTTCTGTTGCTGGAAAGCTACGGATGATCAACAGGCGTCATAGAGAGTGTAAAATAAAGTTTACCCCTGATCGAAAAATTCAAAGTTGCAGTATTAACTAACTGGATAGGAGACCACGTCTTTTGGTTGACAGAAATGCCGAATGTATTGTAAGAGAGTTTTGATCAAAAGATTGTTTGGTAGAATTCAGTTTATTATAAAACACAGGCAGCAATTAATAGTCATAATAATATCTAATAGGTGGAAGCCGGATATTCAGGTTAAAAATCCTTCGAATTCGATGTAGAGAGCGATGAACTCTTAATTCCCAATATCTATACTGCCATCAGTACGGATGAGCGGAATAAAGATTATGTGTCTGATTGTATGTGAGAGAAATATGAGATTGGTTTGTATACAAAGCTGAACCTTCAGTGTCAACTTCAGCAACCCCATACATCCTACTGATTGCTGTTAAATTTAATATACCACGATACCCTGTTAGACCTAAAGTTGAAATTAGAAGTTCACAAAATTATGGATTATCGAAGTATTTATATATGGTATTAAATCACCTTAAAAGCCACTCAAAAACTGGACTAACAAGCTGTTTTGAACTAAAACATACATTAGATAATTTGAAATTAGATAACGAAAAAAGTGGTTAGTTTTGACATTGTCGGTCTATAAACATGTAAAGAGGTAAATATTGCCAAACAGACAGGCAATAGATTTTTCGAAAACATCAACTCGAAGGTTAAGGCAATTCAGTGCACTTGTGATGAAATGGAATATCAGGAAGAGGAAAATCGAAAGTTTGATTATAGCGTGAAAAGAATAGAAAGTGGGGAGTTCAACATTAGTGTTTACAGGAAACGCACACATTCAAACCAATACTTGAATTTCCAGTCATCCCATCCTGTGCCAGTTAAATTGGATTAGTGAAATGGTTAAGCAATAGCGTAAGAACAAAAACTAGGAAAATCTAAGACATGATACGTGAAGCTGTGAAAATAGTTACCAAAGAGTTCGTAGAAATATGTAAAAAAATCAATAATAATAGCCGTAGTAGTAATAATAAAAGAGATATTTACGTTGAAAGGCATATAAAACATAGGCAGGATAATGACGACACCAACGATAAGGAATTTCAATCGTCATTATTTCTTCCATGAAAAGAAGAAACTTAGAAAACCTTAAGGAGAAATCGTAACAAGAAATGAGTAAAAGTAATATTCAAACCGAAAAACTCAATTAGAAACAAACTCTTTCGGAGCCAATAAAACCAGACAATTTCGTTGATGTAATATCCTGCTGCAAATAGATAGTTCAAAGTAGTAGAACAGGAGTAGTCGGACTAACTGAGTATAAAAACCTAGCGAAATCTAGATCAATTGACCCGTATATGATAAGAAATCAGCTATAGCAGTACATTCAGTTACACACAACCATACAATGGGATGGGATAGGTTGACAGTTTTCAAATATAATGTAACTGCAGGGTAAGAGGAGAGATGGATAACAGAAGCTTTGTTTATCAAATCAACTGCGAACACGTGTAATAGGAATGATTCAACACCTATCCACGCATACATCTGGAAAATTCTACAACCCTTACCACAAAAAGTAGACAACAAAGAAAACTATGAAACTCATGTTTTGAAGTGGTGTGATTACAATGCATATGATCATGAACAATAAACTACATTCGAAACGTCATCCGGTTAATAATACTTATTCACTGTGTCGTATATTTTATAAACAAACCAATTTGCAACTACGAGACTAGATTTGTATCAGTTCCTCATGTGTGTCCATGCGTCTCTGTTTATGGATATTCAATCAGTATGCATGTCATTGTATACTGCACTAAATAAATAGGCTAAGAGTGAATGATATTCCCACGCATTTTTTCGCAGTCCTACTGCCCTACGACAAATGAAATCAATACTGAAGCATTCCTCAAGAAGGTACAGCGGACAGGTGAAAAATGCAAACCGCGAAACAATGTAGCGATGGCAAATACGGCGAATCAATCACAAACGAATATCCTGACGAGGCATTTCACTTAAAACATCATGTGTGTTGTTTGAGAAACCATATCATTTTGTCAAGCAGTCCCAATGAGATAATCAGAATGAGAAAATGCCATTCGAAGTGTGTTTGTTTCTCCAAATTCACCGAATCAACCAATTCTGTGGAAATAATGATACACGAAGTTCCAGGATTTCGTTATCGTCCTTGTAAGGTACTATTGTAGATATAGTGAATGCATCTAAATAATGCTGAAAACGTGTGCTGACCACGTGCTGCAAGGCAAACTATTAGACAATAAATTACCACAATGTTTATTTCCACATTCTAGGTCATGATAAAGTGATCATGAATATTATACTTGAGAAAGTCACCAAACAATTACAGAGGACTTAGCGTGTTCATATATGATTCACATATATACGGCTTCATTTTCTGAGAAACGATCAAAGATATAACAGTAAAACCGTCATCAAGAAGACAACCAATCAGAAGATATTTACTCTCCGATGGAAAAAAACGCATACAAATCTGTAAATGTCGTGTGATTTTCTTAATTAACGATCTGTCGCCTAGCCTTGTTCTCTGGCGTTACACTAACTCAAATCAAATTTGAATCCCGCGATAGTCTGCATTTCC